AGAGCCACAGAATAGTTTGTGCTATGACTATGTAAACACCGAACACACCAAAAGAAAGAGTAGACTCTCTTCTTTCATCAGGAAAAAAAACGTGTTTCTACCTTATTCCGTTCTTCCTGGACTTGCGTCTCACCGGCGACATGTTCTCTCATAGAACCGTTCCCTTTTTCTTATTTGCCTACAGTCTATGCTCATCTCCCATCAAAAGTGGCACAGCTACCTAGAGGGTAAATTTGTTAGTCCATACTCTGTCTAGAAGCCGATATTTACAGGAAAACTTTCGCCGATTGTCCCCCAAGCCACTCGCATTGAAAAACATAAAAGAAGTCTATAGACGTCTTTGGCAGCGAATGAGTTAAAGAGGGAAAACCTGCCTTTAAAAAGTCCCAAGATGATTGATCTGCAAATGTATATATGTATAGACTAGGGCTGTCACGATGATAAAATGTTTAACTTGATACCGATACTCAGGAAAATACTTGATACCACAAGGATAAAAACAAAGACTGCAAAATTTTACTGAATTTTGTTTTGTTTCGAAGTTACCTGTTACTGATGTTATGGTGGCCCACATTAATGACCCTGACCCTAACCCTAGCCTGCCTGCAGCCCATTTAACACCTGTGGATAGGGTTGTCATGATAATGAAATGTCCAACTGGATACCGATACTCAGGAAAATATTCAATACCATTTTAAATACCACAAGGATAAAGACAAAGACCCCGAAATTTAACTGAATTTTGACAGGTTAGTGTCTTTCATTTCAAACTGACCTGTTACTGATGTTATGGTGGCCCACATTAATGACCCTAATCCTGACCCTAACCATGACCCTAACCCTAACCCTAGCCCGACTGCAGCCCATCTAACACCCGTGGATAGGGCAAATGTATATATGTATAAACTAGGGCTGTCACGATAATAAAATGTCCAACTCGATACCGATACTCAGGAAAATAATCGATATTATCGACATTCAATGCCATTTTGGATACCACAAGACCCCAAAATGTAACTGAGTTTTGACAGGTTAGTGTCTTTGGTTTCAGACTGACCTGTTACTGATGTTATGGTGGCCCACATTAATGACCCTGACCCTAACCCTAACCCTAACCCATACTAAAATGTTCAACTGGATACCGATACTCAGGAAAATACTCAATACCATTTTAAATACCACAAGGATAAAGACAAAGACCCCAAAATTCTAACTGAATTTTGACAGGTTAGTGTCTTTGGTTTCAAACTGACCTGTTACTGATGTTATGGTGGCCCACATTAATGACCCTAACCCTAACCCTAAACCTGACCCTAACCCTAATCCTAACCCTAGCCCTAACCCTAACCCTAACCCTAGCCAGCCTGCAGGTCAGACGCCCATTTAACACCCGTGGATAGGACAAATGTATATATGTATAGACTAGGGCTGTCACGATGATAAAATGTTCAACTGGATACCGATACTCAGGAAAATACTCAATACCATTTTTGATACCACAAGGATAAAAACAAAGACCCCAAAATTTAACTGAATTTTGACAGGTTAGTGTCTTTGGTTTCAAACTGACCCGTTACTGATGTTGTGGTGGCCCACATTAATGACCCTAATCCAGGGGTGTCAAACTCCAAAACACAGAGGGCCAAAATCTCAAACCTGAACAAAGCCGCGGGCCAAGATTCAACAAATGAACCTTTTAATGTGGAATAAAACAAATTTTGCTTTAACATTGAATATGGAACAAGCAACTCTCATTACATTATATATAACTTAATAGTGGAGACATGCAAAATCCAATTTCAAATAAAAAACACATCAATGGCATTCATTTATGAAAGAAAATTTTAAAACATTTTTCTATTCGCATTCTTCTGAATTAAATATCAAAATTAAAGTTGCTTGTGCAGATAGCTCCTTTTCCTGCCTTTCTTTTGGTCATTTTTGGGAAGCAGCACAGTGACAGCTGTAGTGTGTATCTACTGTCACAGAGGAGTTTCTGGGTCCTGTCCTGAACAACAGCAGAGCATTATGGGAGTTGTAGTATGAGCGGTTAATGCACTGTACAGTATAAAGCTTATGCTTCATCCTACTCCTTTTTGAAACATGATGCATGTTTATGAAGCATTCTATGTAAACATTGTTAAATCATATCATGTTTCAAAATAAATTAAATGAAAAATTTAATGAAATTAAATCATTTGATATTGTCTCGCGGGCCAAATATAATTACAACGCGGGCCAAATCTGGCCCTCGGGCCAGAGTTTGACACCCCTGCCCTAATCCTAACCCTAACCCTGACCCTGACCCTGACCCTAACCCTAACCCTAACCCTAACCCTAGCCCTCCTGCAGCCCATTTAACACCCGTGGATAGGGTTAGGTCACGATACTAACATTTTCAACCGGATACCAATACTCTGGAAACTATTCTATACCATTTTAAATACCACAAGTCGGGTACCGCCGACCTGGTGGAGATCCGCCACGGGCAGAAGACCTACGCACGCTTCCAGGTCAGACCCCATCTAACACCTGTGGATAGGGTTAGGTCACGATACTCAGGAAAATGATCGATATTATCGACATTCAATGCCATTTTGGATACCACAAGACCCCAAAATGTAACAGAATTTTGACAGGTTAGTGTCTTTGGTTTCAAACTGACCTGTTACTGATGTTATCGTGGCTCAAATGAATGACCCTAACCCTAATCCTAGCCCGCCTGCAGGTCAGACGCCCATTTAACACCTGTGGATAGGGTTGTCACGATACTAAAATGTTCAACTCCATACAGATACTCAGGAAAATATTCAATACCATTTTTATACCACAAGGATAAAAACAAAGACCCCAAAATGTAACTGAATTTTGACAGGTTAGTGTCTTTGGTTTCAAACTGGCCCTCCTTTCACAATTATGAAGGGTGGAGGGTCCGGGTCCGGGTAACGAGGTAACAGTTGAGGTGCCTGGTGGCTCTGGTCCTGATGGGTCTGAAGAACGTGTAATTTGGGTTTAAGTGAACATTCTCTGGTTGGAAAAAACGATTCCCATCTGGTTGGGTCAGAGAAAACGTAGAGAATGAGATAATTTCTGCCCCGAACTGAAGGAGTCTGTGCTGTTTCCCGCTCTGTCAGGGCTCCGTGGAGTCCCTCCGCCTGGCTCTAGGGGGCACTGTGGCCAAAGCCGGAGCCCTCACCGACTGTCCCTTCCAGGGAGACGCGTCCGCCTACAACTCAGGTGAGCTGAGCCCGTTAACTCATCGACTGGCAGCCATTTTCAGAACAGAGTCCCATACTGCCAGAGTTTTTTGAGCATTTTGACTGGTTTTTCCAGAGCCACAGAATAGTTTGTGCTATGACTATGTAAACACCGAACACACCAAAAGAAAGAGTAGACTCTCTTCTTTCATCAGGAAAAAAAATGTGTTTCTACCTTATTCCGTTCTTCCTGGACTTGCGTCTCACCGGCGACATGTTCTCTCATAGAACCGTTCCCTTTTTCTTATTTGCCTACAGTCTATGCTCATCTCCCATCAAAAGTGGCACTGCCCCCTAGAGGGTCAATTTGTTACTACATACTCTGTCTAGAAGCCCATATTTACGGACAAGCTTTAGCAGATCGTCCCCCAGACACTCTCGTTGAAAAACATAAAACATCAGCCAATGAGTTAAAGGTGGGTCTGTGTTTTTATTTTCTGAAGCTAACCCGACTGTTTGTGGTGGTTTCAGTGAGCGGGGAAGTGAACTCCATCCTGGGTGAGACGCCTTTCCTCTGCTGGGGCCAATGGTCTCATTCCCTCTGGGTCTCATTTGATTGGTTTTCTCTGCTCAGGTGAGCATACTAAAGCTCTGATTGGTCAGCTCATCATCTTCAACCAGATCCTAGGAGAGCTGCGACAGGACATCCGAGAACAGGTGAGAAGACGGTAGAATACAGAAACCAGAGGACAGGAGAGGACAGGTGGGATAGAAAACAGGTGAGAAGGACACCAAGGCAGGTGAGGAGGGCAAGATAGGCTATCAGTGGACAGGTGAGACCGTTATAGGACAGGTGAGACGGTCTGTCAGAGGACAGGTGACAAAGGCTGTTAGAGGACAGGTGAGACACTTATAGGACAGGTGAGACACTTATAGGACAGGTGAGACACTTATAGGACAGGTGAGACAGGTGGAGTAGCTGTATCGTGTCTCCTCAGGTGAAGGAGATGGCTCTGATCAGGAACACCATCCTGGAGTGTCAGGTGTGCGGTGAGTCCTCCCGGCCGTTTCCACGGTAACCCGGGCGGGGGCCCCGGTCTGAGGACCCGATTGAAGCCGGCCTGTCTGCAGGTTTCCACGAGCCCCGGTCCCGCTGCGCGCCCAACCCCTGCCACCAGGGCGTGGCCTGCTCCGAGAGCCCGCAGTTCCCCGGGTTCACCTGCGGGAGCTGCCCCCCCGGGACCAGCGGCAACGGCTCCCACTGCTCAGACATTAACGAGGTAAAACTTTATTTACACAGACGACACACAGACCTCAACGAGGTGAAAACTTTATTCACACAGACAGACGAGGTAAAACTTTATTCAACCAGACGACAGCAGGGTCAACAGAACTTTATTTACACAGACAGACGAGGTAAAACTTTATTCAACCAGACAGACGAGGTAAAACTTTATTCAACCAGACAGACGAGGTAAAACTTTATTCAACCAGACAGACGAGGTAAAACTTTATTCAACCAGACGACAGCAGAGTCAACAGAACTTTATTCACACAGACGACAACGAGGTTAAAACTTTATTCACACAGACGACAACGAGGTAAAAACTTTATTCACACACAACGAGGTAAAACTTTATTCAACCAGACGACAACGAGGTTAAACATTTATTCACA